GGGGGGGGGGTAACTGGGGTAAGGGGAGAAAAGGAAGCTCACTCTTAATGTCTTTTGAGATTTTTGCCATATATTACCTATTCTGAATAATAATTTAAAATTGGATGGTTGGAACTTGGATACAAACCTAAGACAAATAATTTCTCTGGAGAGAGAGGAGGAAATGACATGGTGAGCCCCGTGGGGAGAGCTAATTCTCTCTTGCGGCCAGAGTCTGGCACAGCAGGTGCTCTCAAATAGTAGCTGGACAAATCACTGGCTTTCACAAAAGTGTGCTTCTGTTTGCTCTCCTAGTCCCGCAGCTGATTTCTATTGATCAATTGCCCTAAAGACTTTCAGAAGGGCCCTTGCTGGTGGCCTTCCCTGAGCCAGGGTCAGCAGGAGCATACCGCACAGGCAGGAAGATGGAGCGCTGTGCGTCCTTCTTGGCGTCCTTGCGGGAAGGCACGTTGAGGCCAATGTGGTAATGGACCTGAACGAGCAGGGCCAGGAGCAGCTGCGGGTAGATGCGCCTCACGCGGCCCAGGCAGCTGTTGACCGACAGGAGCTCACACAGGCCGCTGGCTGCCTGGGGGCAGAGGAGAGGCTGGTGGGAAGTCCTGCCCATCGTCGCAGCATCCCTGGCAGGCAGGGGATGGACTGCTTCTCTAGGAGGTCAGACCTGGATCTTTGCTCTACTCTGGCCCAGCCTGGGAGAGCCCAGATCCACCCCCAGACCAGACCGCAAGGGAGCACCAGCCGTTAAACTTGGCTGCCCTTGCTACCTCCCCATGTGGCCAGCAGCCAAAAGAAACAAACTCTAGCCTTGAGCAGGAGCCAGGGAGGACCAACCCTGGACTCTCTCACTCCACACCTACCTGCCTCCACCCCAGGCCTCCCAAGTCCTGGGAACTTGGCTTTGTTGGCATTTGGCCCACCAGGTTCCCAAGAACCCAATTTGCACTCACCTCCCAACTTCTCCTACCAGTCTACTCTGGGCCTGGCCTGGGCCCACCCCTCACCCTTGGTTCACCCTCTCTAACTTGCAGGACATTGGGGGGGCGGGGAGGGCCCGTGATGTGCTGGGGTCACAGGACCCGATGGCTCATTCTGGCTCCACCAGTCCCCTCTTGGGCTTCAGTTTCATCCCCCATAAAGTGAGGTTACTAGGCCTCTTCTAGCCGACCCCACAGGTACAGTGGGGATTAAATGGAGGAGAAGGGAGGATGCTTTCTAAAGAAATGGTGGAGCCCTGGCTGGTGTGGCTCAGTCGGTTGGGTGTCTCCCCATGCACCAGGAAGGAGTTGCCAGTTCGATTTCCAGTCAAGGGCACGTGCCCGGGTTTCAGGCTCAATCCCCTGTAGGCGGCCTGAAGGAGGCAGCCGATGGATGTTGCACTCTTACATTGATATTTCTCTCTCTCTCTCTCCCTCTAAAAATCAATAAACTATTTTTTTTTTTTAAAGAAAAAGAAATGGTTGAAATCTGTGCAACCAAAACCCCACGCAGCTGGTCATTTAATTGTGAAGTGAAAGAACCCGTGGCTTGTTCCCATGGAAATAAAGGACATAATGTGGGCTGGGTGAGAACAATAAATGGCACTTATTTGTAACTCACAGCTTAAGAAACCCTTTCACATATACCACCCCACTCTTCTTAACAAGACAGACAGACAGGCAGGAGTTATTACTACCCATTTTACAGACTTAAATATGAAGGCGAAAGCCTAACCAAGGTTATATAAAGCAGCAGTGGCAGAGCTAAGACAAGCCTCTTGGACTCAAAGCCTTTGCACTTTTCAGCAGCGTGACACTAATGACTGTATTCAAACAAAACTGTGGTGTAGAGAAAAGTCTCTAGTGATGTGCCATAGGGCTCTCCTCTTGACTTACTCTTGCTCAAATGGTTTATCAATACCACAGGATGAAAATCAGTCCAGGCTGTATCTGTGCTCAAACTATGCTTGTTGAACAAGAAGCACGAATGAGTGGCTGAAGAGTACACTAGTACACACTGGTTGGAGGAGAGGCGGAGAAATGCCCAAAGCAGGGAAGGCATGGGTGCTGGTGCCTATTCATAGAACTCAGTGCTGGGGGAGAGACTGGTGGTGAAGCACAGGATTTGGAGATAGGAGATCTGGGTTTGAGTCCTGGCACCACCGCTGTGTGACCTTGGGTGAGACATGGACTATTGCTGAGCAGTAGTATCTTTCTCTGTAAAAGATAATGCCACCCGCTCGTCCATTCCCCATACCATTGCTTCCCTCCGTCAGAATGTCTTGCTCTCCGCTGAATCCCCAGAACTTATGAGTGTGCCTGGCACATAGTAGGTGCTCAATAAATATTTGTTGAATATGTTGGTTCAATTTTTTTTTTAATATCTACTATGTGCCAGGTGTAACAGACATTGGGGATATCATGGTGAGCAAAACAGGCTCAAGGCTCTGTCTTTATGCATCTCATACATTAACCGAATGGCCCCCCTCCAACTATTGTCAAATCACAACTGCGCAAATTCTCCCAAGATAAAGTATGTGAAGCAAAGTATAACATGCACAGATTTGATCTTGTCAGGGAGATCAAGGAAGGCTTCCCTGAGGAGGTGATACTTGAGAGGTAAGGGGATGAATCGAAATTAACTTGGTGGAGAGTAGTCTAGGCTGAGGGAACAACATGTGCAAAGGCCCTGTGACAGAAATTAGCATGGCATGTATAACATTCTGACAAAGACCAGTGAGGCTGGAGCCAAGTGAGCAAGAGGACCACGGAGTGTGGTGAAGACAGCAAGGGGTGCAGGGCCTTACAGTACAGGTAGGAGAACTGAGTTACACTCAGGGCAATGGGAAGCCATTGAGGGGCTTGAGAAGAGCAGATGTGCATTTCTCAGAGTTTTCGGCTGCGGTACAGATTGGAGGGGCAGGAGTGGAAGCAAGGAGATGAGTGGGGCTATTATCCAGCTGGCTTGGACCAGAGTGGCGGTGATAGAGGCAGAGAGAAATTGTTTCTCCAACCAGCTACCTTCCTGCAGTCAGAGCCCTTTCCCTCTGTGTTCCCAGGGCTGAGCTCTGAGCCTAGCAGCAAGAAGCAATTAAATATTTTGTGCCACCTAAATGAAGAAATGAGTTATTTAGTCTTCACAACCACCATACAAGATAGATACTATTCTTTCCATTTACAGATGTAGAGACTGAGCCTCAGAGAGGTGAAGTAACTTGCTCAGGTCACAGAAAAGTAGCATGGCAAAGCCAGTTCTCAGATTCAGGTTTGTGAATCCCAGGTCATTTTGTTTTTAGTACTCCAGGCTGCTGGTGTAACTGTAAGTAGCAGAGCTGTTATCAGTGGATCACAGTCAAGAGCCCAGAGACAGAGACCTGCCCAAGGCCACACAACTAGCTGCTAGCAGAGCAGGCACTAGAAGCTGGGCGTGTTGAGCTTAGCAGGAGGGGGAGGAAAAGGGGGACAGGCAGACAGGTCTCACCGCTAGGGGCACGATGGAGGCCCTGCCCTTCTTGGTGACAGGCTTCTCCTTCAGACTGGTCAGGAGCAGGTCCAGGAGGTCCCGGACATCGCAGCTGGGCTTGCGCAGTAACAGCTGCCTCCACATCTCTGCTCCATTGCTGGGAGGTCAGGCGTGGAATAGTTAGTGGGGACCAGGGCAGGAGGAGCCACCCTTCCTCCCAGTGGTATCCATGGGCATGCCAGCAAATTTCTGGAATGGTCCTGAAAACACTCCCTATAAGCAGGGGGCTAACAGTGATAGAAAACCCTATTTCCCAGGTATTATGCCAGGTCCTTTACATACAATTTATTACTTCAGCAAATATTGAGCATCTGCTCTTTGCCAGGCACTAAGCAAATCTCTGGGATACAGGTGTGAACTAGATATTAAGACCTTCAAGGTCACTGAATTCTCACAATGACCCTCAAGGTGCATTGTTATTCCCATTTCATAGATGCAGAGTTGAGGCTCAGAGGGACTAAACATTCAGACTCACAAGTCTGCTGGGGCCACACTTGACACCAGAGTCGTTTAGGATATAGGTCAGGGCAGTGTCAGGGGCTCCTCTTTGCAGGAGCCCAAGACTACACAGCTGATGAGTTGTATTGTAAAGAAGTGACCAGGACTGATGTCTCCGAAGCCTGTGCTCCTTCCCCTATGCCAAGGAGCCCTTTGGGGCCTGGATCCTGCATTTGTCACATAATATCAAGGAGCCCCTGCTCCTGTGCCTTAGAAGGCAGTACACCAGGCAGGTGAAGGCACCTGTGCCAGGCAGCACAAGCCCCAGGCACTCCTATTTGTGGGGAGTTGAAAGCGCTGAGAGGCCAGTGCACTATAGGGTTAACCCAACCCTTTCCCCCTTCTGCATGAGCATTTGAAGTTTGAACCTGCCATTAACTTTCCAGCTCCGTTTCCCTGGAAACATGATAAAGATAGTATGTCAACTATGTTGCTAGGCAACATTGCTTATGGTAAAAATGACCCAATTGGTAAATTGCATCTGGGCTGGGAGGAACCATAAATTAAGTATAAGAACCGAAGGGGATGCTGTAGCATTGAGCTTCGTGGGGTGCAGGGACTCTTGTGACTGGGCTTGTTCCTGTGGGGACCCTGAAAGCAAGTCTATAGAGTTATTTGTTATAAGAAAAACTAGTTCCTATGAGGTCTGAGCCATTTAAGCCAGAGAAGCTCCTGCACCTTTCACCTTAGAGGCCCAAGGGACCAACCCTTGGACCCAGGGCCAAGAGTAGGGTGAGGAAAGTGTAGCATCCAGGGCACAAAATTTAAGGAGTCTCTCACTCTCAGGCTTATACAAGTGCAGGCACAGCACCCGAGAGTGAGGGCCTCCTTAAATTTTGTTCCAGCTCTGGCTGGCTGGCTTCATGAGCTGCTGCAAGGTCTCCTGCAAAGAGGAGCCCCTGACACTGTCGGGTCCTATATCCTGAACGACTCTGATATCAAGTGTAGCCCCAGGAGCCTTGTGAGTCTGAATCTTTAGTGGCTCCAAGAAGAATGCCCTTTGGTGGGCAGTATAGTCAGAAGAGTTAAATTCTTGCAGGTGGGAGAGCAGAGATGTGTCACCCCAGCCCTCACCACCCATGTCCTTGGTTTCTATGAAAAGCCAACTCTTATTAGAACCACACCCCATTTGCATAGCTCGACACAATTCTTTTACGTTCATTCTCAACCAAACTTGTTAAAATGCGGACCGCACGCTTTCTGCCTTGTTTTAGTCATCTCCAAAGGTGTGGGAGCAATCCCTGGGCTGGGAGGCTGGAGCAGTCAGACTGGTCTCTCCTGCCCACAAGACACCTCCACCGATCAGACCACCTGCTCCCTGAAGGCTGAGAGCATTGTACATCCTGCACAGGGCCCAGGACCAGGCAGGAACTCAGCACACTAGCTGCATTACTTGTCACAACCACTATCTGGAGTGGGAATTCAGGGGTTACTTCCTCCTTTTGCCTATGGGAGAAAACTGAAGCCCAGAGAGCACAAGCAGGCTGCCCAAGACCACCCAGCGGCTGAAGGCTGAGTCAGGACTGTCACTCAGGCCTCCTTTCTGTGGCATCATTAAAGAGCTCTGGGCTTAGAGTTGGTCAGATCTGAGTTTAGCTCCTTATTCTGTTGCTGGCTCAGTGGATGCCTAGTGTAAGAAACTTCCCCTGAGCCTCAGTTTCCTCACCTGTAGAATGGGAATATTGCACTATTAATGCTGAACAAAAACAACTAGCAGTGCTTGGGAAGTGCTCAGTGGTTGCCAATGCACCACAGATCATGGAAGAAGGGCCATCTCGGAGGGCAAGGGGCTCCTCTGGGTGGAAGGAGAGTCCCAGACCAGGGTGGGGCTGCTTTGACCCTCTGAGATGTAGTGGCTGACAACCCCCCTCACTTGGTACCTGTCCAGTGGGAGGGGGCACATGAGCAGGGCCACAATGACCTCGGTCATAAAGGAACTGGCCAGGATAGAGACAGGCAGCAGGGCTACCTCACGGGCCCGTGGCTCCTGGATGTTGCTCAGCTGCGCATAGATGGCCTGCATGATTTCTGGGATCTGGGGTACAGCAGGGCCCGTGGAGAAGGCAGGGAGACATAGGGACAGGGAAATGGGAGGAGAGGAGTGATAGGGTAGAGTGACAGGGGAGAGAGGGCACACAGGAGAGAAATGGGAAGGGGGGCAGAGTGCCTGCTCCTTCCCTGAAAATGACCAATGTTGTCTTCACTGCCACCTCCACCCCACACTGGATGGGTGAGTTCTTTCTCGCCTCAAGTTGGGAGTACCTAGAACTCAGCCGCCGCCACCCTGCCCTACTAAGGGATGAGCAGGCCCCGTGGGGTCTCCCAGCTCAGCCCCTGCTCCCAGGCGCCTTACCACCTCCAGCGCTCTGTGGCGGTACCACTCCAGCACCGAGCTGAGCATCACCTCCGACGCCAGCTGCATCATCTCCCCTGAGTCCTTGCCTCTGGCCTCTGCCTCCAAGCCGCCTTTCAGCCCTTCCAGGGCTGCTAGCAACAGGTCCTTCACCTGCTGGGGCCCCAAGAAGTCTCCAAATTCCTGAAACAAAGGCACGGAGATGCTGGCACACATGGACAGCCCCTGAGCAAGCCGTACACAGATGCACAGATGCTGCCAGATACACATGGAAGTCAGCAGGGAGGGCCCAAACTCAGGAGGAGCTGCAAAACCGGGGTGACATGGCCCCTGAGCTGGGTGACATGGCCCACATGCTGTGGCACAGACCAGACGGGTTGTGGGACTCAGGATGGCCCACGTGGTCAGGGAAGGCTTCCTGTAAGGGGGCTTGAGCCTGGAAACATGGAAGGGGTGGAGAAGGCATTGGGCAGGCTGGCACTGCCCTTTTCCCTATCCCCGGGAAGGCCCAGGGCTGAGGGGCAGCGAGCGGTCACCGCGATCACACGCAGAATGTTCTGGCATGGGCTGACAGGGTTGTAGGGCCCCAGGAAACGCTTGTTGCTCTCATACAGCTCCTTCTTGTCTGTCTCTTTTGTATCTCTGGCTCCTGCAAGAAGAGGACCTTCTCAGTGAGGCCCAACCACCCTTTCTTTAAAACTTCTGTTAGGAAGTACGTAAGTCATAGGTAACCAGCTTAATAAATTTTCAAATGCCCAACCTATCCATCTAACTGGACCTTAGGTCAAGAAACAGAACATGATCAGCACCTCAGAAGCCCCTCTTAGGCCCCCTTCCAGTCCTCTCTCCCCTTCCCCCACCCGGGGTAAACACTATTAGATATCCTTGCTGTTGGACTTCTATGAATGGACTCATATGTTATGTTATCCTTGGTGTCTGGCTTTCACTCAGCATCATGTGGGTGAGATTCACCAATGCTGTTGAAAGCAGCATTGCTTCATTCTTTCTTGGTGCTGCACAATTTTCCATGGTATGAATATACCACAATTTATGCATCTGTTCTACTTCAGATGGACACTTGGGTTGTTTCCAGCTCTTATGCATTGTGCTCCATAAACAATCTAGTATGTCTAGCCCCGGCCTTTTGGTGAATATATGTACACATTTGTTACATTGGATAGCTAGGAGAGAAATCGCACTGTCTTGGGGCAAGCATAGGTTCAGCTTCAGGGGAGACTGACAAACAGTTTTCCACAGTGGGGACCACATGCTCCCACCAGCAGTGCCTGAGAGTTCCCGTGGCTTCACGTCTCACCAGCATGTGGCACTGTCAGAATGTTCCTTTTTTGCCATTCTGGTGGGTGTGTGGCAATACCTCTTTTAATTGGCAATCTCCCTACCCCTGGCATTCCCAACCCCCCTTTTCTGCTTTTTTTATCATCATCTGACTTCATATATGTATTACTTTTTTTATTCTGTTGTCTTCTGACAACAAGAAGGTAAACTCAACAGGGAGGAGCTGTTTATTAATTAATTTTATATTTATGTCTTCACTGCTATGTCCCAAGGCCTAGAATAGTCTCTGGCACATGATGGCCCTGTGTTTTCTATTGAAGGAAACACAATATCAGGTGTATTTCCTGAGCCCTTACTGTGGCCTGGCCTGGGTCCTACCTGGATCCCCCAGCATAAACAAGACATGGGCATAAGAGGGGTCCATCAGGGTGAAGTGACCACATGGACCAAGTATGTGGGTTTTTTGTAAAAGGAAGGAGCTTGGACCTGGAATCAAGCAAACGCAGGTTCATATCCTAGCTTTGCTGCTTCCTACAGTTAGGGGGCCTGGACAAACCACTTTGCTCCTGGAGAATCTAACAGCATGCGTTTGGCCTCATTGCCAGATAAAACCCAGGATGCCCAGTTAAATGTGAATTTTAGGTAAGCAAATAATTTTTAGTGAAAGAATGTCTCAAATATACTTTCCATCAAATTGTTCATTGTTTATCTGAAACCCACATTTAACTGGGTGTCTTATACTTTTATTTGCTAAATCTAGCAATACTATTTTGGTCTATGCTATTCCTGACCCTAAGCCTGATGGTTAGCATGACTTATACCACTTTCACCCATCACGCAGGAGGTCTGAATGGTTCCTAGGCAGCAGGGGAAATCACCCAGGGGCCAAATCTTTGTCCCAAATGCTAGAGGTCAAGCAAAGCAGGGACACCAGACAGATCCCAAAAGGCTGAAACTAATATCATTCTTGTAGGCATGGGGGAAAGGAAACTCTATTTGACAAGTGCCTATAATGTGTGATACTGAGCTGGTCTCTTTACATATATGATCTCATTTCATCTTTCAAAAATCTTGTGAGTTATATCCTATTGAATCCTTTTTCTACAAATGAGGAAATCTAGGCCTGGACAAGAAAAGTAACTTGTGTGAGGCCACACATCTAGGAAGGGCTAGAACCAGGTCTTGTACCTAGGTCACTCTGCCTCCAGAGCCAGGGAAGTTTAAACAACATGCCAAGGTCCCTTGGTTTGGGGCAGCGTTGGGACTATGGAAAAAAGAAGGGTGCAAGGAACAGGTGATACTGTGCACCTCTAGGTGCAGTGCCATCTGGGTGCCTGCGTCAGCCCATTCCACATCACTAGCTCCCTGAAGCCAAATCCAGGGATGTTCTCCACCTACAGGTTTTAACCGCTCCCAATTCTAAGATAGAATGTTTTATGTTCACTCACTCAATATTCACCGAGTACCCACCAGGTGCCAGGCCCATGGCTAGCCCTTGGGGATTCAGTGGTGAACAAGACACAGCCTTGCTCAAATGGGGTTATAGTCTAGTGGGAAAGATAGACCAAGAAACAAGAGATTAGGGCTCTCATGCCTGGGTATACATTGCTGCGTGGGAATGTGAAAATGAGAGTCACAAATTAAACTCGGAAGGATGAGGAAAAGCTTAGACAGAAGGAGTGCTTAAATCAAAATAGGTTTGTTTATAGTGTTTGTCCCCTGGTCCTGTGGGGACTAAGTCTTTGTACCTCTGCAGACCCCATCAGACCCTTTGCTGGTCTCCACTACCTCCCACCAGTGCCTTGTTGCTAAAACTCCAGTCAGGTCCCTGGCTGAACACCTGCTCAGAAGCCTTGCTTCAGAGGTGCTCCAGACTTACGTTTTTGGAGCTCCAAGATGGTATAGAGGATGGTGATACCATCCAAAGCCTCCCGGCCAATGTCCTCATCAGGATCCCCGATGCGAAGTATGAGTCTCCCCAGCAGAAGCCCCAGTGAGGGGAATCCCGAAGACATCTGTTTGTGTTGTAATCTTAAGGATTGAGTTGCATAGGTTCAATAATGCTATACAGTAAATGTGAACAGAGCTGGAATATCGGTCCCTGACAGCAGAGCCCTCTGAAGATGGTAAGGACCACCTGGGAATCTCTGGACAGATGAACAGGCACCTTCAGAGTTGGGAAGATTCTCCCTAGGAGTGGCTTACCTACCTCCCAGGGGACACTCACAAAGAAAGGCAGGGTGAGAAGTGTGTGGTTCAACAGAGAGACATTGCTCTTCACAGCGCGTGCTCGCTCATGGGCCTTTCCAGAGTTCATCCAGGGCCCCAGGGGCTGTGAGGACAAGGGCAAGACTCAGAGCTACAGGCTGGCTGCCAGCCTCTGCTGCCTGGGTGGGCAGGTCAGCCTTCACTGATCAGCTTCTGGGGAAGGCATTAAGGCCGCTCCCCACAGTCCTCCTCTTCTTAAAGCATAGGGAGTCACGGGGGTCCAGAAGCTGAGGATAGGGCTGAAAGACCAGAGGGAGGATGCTCATTGAAGAGAGAGACGAAAGATGGAGAGTCATGAGGATAAAAGAGAAAGACAGGGGCAAGAATGAAGAGAGCAAAAATATGGGGGCAGCTACAGCAGGAGTATGGGGGATAGGGAGAGAGTGAAGGGGCAGGAGTGTGGGACAGGACCTGTAAAAGACAGGGAAGCAGAACACTGGCACAAGATGACATCCTGCAGTCAAATCACTCCTTCTGGGTCTAGCTTCCCTCCACACTCCCCCTCCTGGGCCAATTCTGCTTTCCCCTCTACCCTTCCTCTCCTTCCTGTCCCCACACCTCCAAAATGCTACTCAGCCCAGAAGGAGTGGGGTCCTCAACAAAGAGAGCGTTGAGTAGTGTCTGCAGGGCATCCAAGGTCTGACGGTAAAGTATCTGCGGACAAGAAGAGGACTGAGCCACTAGGGGGCGCTCTGGAGCAGACCTTAGCCCCAGGCAACCCCTTGTGTGGACCCAGGAAAGCTGCTTTCTTGTCCCACCTCTTCTGAGACTAACTTGATGTATGACGTTGGAAATATCACTTCCCCTCCATGGGTTACAGTTTTCTTATCAACAAATTGTTAATTATTATCCATTCACTTTTTACCTTATAGGGGGAGGAAGCCGAGACCCAACATTTACTGAGAATCTACCACAGGCCAGGTAAGCAACAAATGAGAGGGTGGGTGGAAAAATGCTCTAGAAATGTAAGAGCTAGATAAACTTTTATTATTGTCTCTGGGGAAGTGCTCTGATTCTTTTTTTAATTGCTACTCCTAGACCTAAATAGGTTTTCCAAGTTGCCTCTGCAGGAAGCCGTCTCACCCCGGCCCAGGCTCCTCCGCCATCAGCTACACCACAGTCCTAGAATTGTTTCAGGAAGGTGCATGTATTATACATACACGAGGCTGAGCAGTGGGTTTGAGCCACTCTGGAAAGGCCCTCTCTCCCTTGCCTGCCCTTGTCCTGCCAGCTCCCCATGTCTGTCTCCCACGTTTTCATTGCTCAGGCTTCCAGCGTCTATACACACCAGGGTCACAGCACAACCACCAAGCAAACCTCACTGGCCAGCTACCCCCTCTTCCCTCTCATCTGCAGCCTGTCACTGTGCAGTGCCGACCTCTGCTAGCTGGCCCTGGTACTGCAGAGGGCTGCTCTCTTTCCCCCTAAGCAATGATTCCCCACCCTTCCTTTGGGTCTTCTCTAAGTGCACCACCTCTGGAACCCAGAGCCCTCATATTGCCACGTGATCTGGCCCCCACAGCTCTCTAGCCTTGCTTCCCAGCACTCTCACCTGACCCTGGGCTCCAGCCCTACTGCCTCCGTATCATTCTTGCAGTCACCATGTTTTCTCTGTCCTCAGGCCTCTGCCAAGCTGTTCCCCCTGTCTGGCATGCTTTTCTGCCAGCCCCACTCTCTTCAGCTAATGCGCTCTTCTTTAACCTCTCAGCTACAGCACCATGACCCCTGACTCTCATCTAGGCCAGGTCCCCCCATTTTGAGCTCTTTATAGCACCAAGTACTTCTTGCTTGCAACATTTACCAGTGTTGTAATTTTGCATTAATTGTCTAATTCTCTGATAATGTCTATCTCCTCCTTTCCTTGCCCCTACTGTACCTCACCCCTGTACTTCGGGAGTAGGCTCTCAGTTAACATTTGAGGAATGAAAGGATGAATGAATGTGCCTTATCTTGAGCTGAAACCCCTCTCCCTTAACTTCCCCCACTGACCCTACATCCTACACTAAGGGTCGCCTCTGCCCGCTCCTCCTAGGACAACCCCGCAGAGGTTTAAAGAAGCTCATGTGATCAGTTCCTTGAGGTTCTACTTCCCCAGGCCTCAGCCCAGCCTTTCTTCATCTTGGCCCAGTCCTTGGCCCTCCTACCGGCCATGCCAAATCTGCCCACATCTATCTCATAGGGCAGGGCCCAGAAGTGGATAGAACACTCCAGATAAGGGGTTGATCTCTATTCTGAAGATTCATACATCCACCAAACGTGCCAAATATCCCTCTCAGGTCGAGAGGGCCAGCAAATTGCCCAAGGCCCTGCAGCTTGAGCAGGACGGTGGGCATCCACATCATCTCCCCAAACACCCTTGCTTTCCCTGCTAGGAGTCCTGAAATGTGCCTCCCTCTGAGGACCCTAGACATCCCGAGGACCCACTGGGGAGGGCCCTGCTCACCTGTATGGCCTCAGCCTGGGCCTCGTCTCTCTCCTGCATGGCCTGCACAGAGGGCAGGGAGAACACGCTCTTCACGCACATGTTCACCAGCTCGGACCTTTCCTGAACACCCAGGACGGGCTGGGTGTGACTGGTGAAGAGACAGAAAGCGCGGAGTAAGGGAGGGGGCCTTGTGAGCAGAGGCTGGAGCTATGAATATAGGGCTGGGATGAGGGCACCTCGATGGGGGTTCGGGGATGGGCCTGAGATTCAGATCCACAAAGGGTGAGATGAGGTGGGGGGTAGGGGAGGAGTGGGTATGGAGGGCAGACAGCCCTGGCAGGTACTGGGCAAGAGCAGAGGAAAAGACACAGGAGTGGGGTTGGGGCACAGCAGAGAGGCCCCAGAAGAGAGAGGCAGGGCCCATGGGGAGCAGGAAAGGGGATGGGGTTGGGGAGGGGCCATGGACACCTCAGCTGCGTCAGGGTCTCCATGGCCTGCTGGCGGACAGAGCTGCAGAGGGAATCCAGCGGCTCCTCCTGGATCTGCCTCTGGACAGGGGACCACAGTAGGGCCGATGAGGTGGGCAGGCCGCTGTAGACCACCGGAGCGGAGGCCACCGCACCTCACAGGAGCAGGCCGCAGCAGCCCCTCGGCCTGGGCAGAACTCCCCCACCTCCTTTCCCTGTCAGGCCTCCAGCGAGGGGAACCTGCTCACGGCTCCAGCCTGTCCTGAGTGCTCAGTTCAAAGCCACCAAAAACACCCAGCTGCACCCTGCACACGGGGCTCAGCAGGAACTGTTTCTGAAGCCTCATTGTGGGGAGGTATGCCTAAATCATGGATTTGCCCAAAGCAAAAACATCATGAAGGACTCCGGAAAGAAACCCAGTTGAATTCCTTTAAAGATGTTCTAATTACATCTCACTTTTGATCTAAGTACCTACACACAATAAGTGCTCAATTAATGTTCGTTAAATGAAAGTATCAAGGGCAACGATGTTTTCTCTTTAAGGGACCCAAAGCTAAGTACAATTTGGGGACCTTCAGTGGTTATCCCCAACCAACCCATTCTGAACTGAGAAGTGATTGTTTTTTGCAAAATGATAAGGAAATTCTCTCCCTGCCAGGAGGAATTTCTGGTTTTAAATAATAATAACTGCTCCCAGGTATGTAATGCTTTACAGTGAACTACCCCTTGGGTTGTGTCCTCCCAACAAGCAGTGACACGGGTATTATCACAGATAAGAAGGGAAATGACTTGCCTGAGCTCCCTCGAGATAGGCAGGGGGCAGTGAGAGGTGGAGCTGAGACGCAAGTCCAAGTGTCCTGCCTCCTCACCTGTCCTCTCCCCACCTCAGCCCCCATCTCATCAGCGCGTGGGCTCGGGGCCTCCGCTCCCTCCCCACCCCAGTGCGGCAGCTTGGATGTGGCCCCCACACCATCATCTTCTTCATCACGGCCTTCTTCTCTCCTTCGCCTTCCAGCACCTCCTGACTCTTCTGGAGGGTGATGACATCCTTGACCTCGGGGACAGCAGAGGGCAAAGCCACAGGGTGAGAGCCACACTGCACCCAGCTTTCAGGGGCTGTCCCTACACCTGCATCAACCACCACCACCTGCAGGCGTGCCAGCCCGCTCCCCCCCCAGGTGCCAGCCCCAGTGTCGCTCAAGGGAAACGGGAAACCACAAGGGGACCTTCTGGGGGGCAGGTGAGAGTTGAGAAGGTGACAGCAGGAGGGTATGGATAATACTTGAAGGCCAGCACTTGGAGGAGGGCAGATATCAGGAACTGCAAAACTCTCCTGGCTTGAAGGTCAACTAAGGGAGATAGGGCGGCAGCTGGGGGCACAGAGAGGATCCCAACACCTCAAGCTGAAATCTCACCATTAGTAATACCTCTTGTTTTAAAAAACTGTTTTTATTGATTTCAGAGAGAAGGAGAGGGAGAGGAAGAGGGAGAAATAGCAACATCGATGAGAGAGAAATAACGATCGACTGCCTCCTGCACACCCCCTACAGGGGATCAAGCCCGCAGCCCGGGCATGTGCCCTGACTGGGAAGTGAACCGGGGACCTCCTGGTGCATGGGGCGATGCTCAACCACTGAGGCACACCGGCTGGGCAGTAATACCTCTTAAGGGCCTACTGGTATCTACCCTTCTTAAGGGCACATCCTAGTCAGATTACAGCATTCTGCTACCTGAGAGAGGGAATACATTAACCAATGTCCAATTAATCTATTCATTCTCCTTATCTTCAAGCAGAAGAAGAAAAAAACCGTGAAATAAAATAACTTCATATAGTAAAGAAAGCAAAACAAGGCAATCAGATGGACAGTGTGGTGAGTTAAAAATGCCACGAGTTCTTCCCAGCTCCTATGGAAAAGACAGATGGCCCTTGAATCTGGGCTCATCTCACCACCTGTTTGGGCCGATAGAATGCTGCGGAAGCGATGCTGTGCAGTTCCTGGCCTAACCCTTAAAGGAGCATGGCAACTCTCCCCTTCTGGAACCCAGCTGCCATGGAATGATGACGCCACGTGGAGAGAGACTCTGGAAGATGGGGTCATCTTAGGTGTTCCTGCCCCCTTCCCCCAGTGATCTCAGTCTACACCAATCAAATTTTAGAATCATGAGAAATTGGGCACTTTCCATCCTTACTTCCCCAGCTGCCAGAGTGAAGTTTTAAACCACTAAGTTTTGGTTTGTTAAACAGTAATTGAGAATTTCAACTGCAAAAGTGCTGTGTCCTGAAACAAGCCATTGCCAGCCTTTCTATCTCCTTTAGAGACCCTCTCACAATTCATTCAGTTGTTTAGAAAACTTACTAAGCACCTGCGATGTGCCAGGCACTGCTCTAGATGCTGGGAATATAGCTGTGAGTAAGACAGACAAAAATCCCCAGCTCACAGGGGATACGTTACAGTGGGAGAGACTAACAGGAAATAAGGTGAAGTAAAGCATATAAGGTGAAGTGCATCAGGTGGTGAAGAACACCACGGATGAAAGAGGAGCCGGGGGCATGGCTCAGCAGTAGAGCATCAACCTGTGATCGAGGAGATCACTGTTCGATTCCTGGTCAGGGCGCATGCCCAGGTTGCAGGTTCAATCCCTGTCAGGGGCGTGCAGGAGGCAGCCGATCAATGACTCTCTCATCATTGATGTTACTATCTGTCTCCCTTCCTCTCTCTAAAATCAATAAAGATA